TCAGCACCACTGGAACTCTGCATCACTGCACCTCTGTACCACTGCACATCAGCACCACTGCACCTCTGCACCTCAGCACCACTGCACCTCAGCACTACTGCACCTCTGCACCACTGCACCTCTGCACCACTGCACCTCAGCACCACTGCACCTCTGTACCACTGCACCTCTGTACCAGGTCTCTCCTCCTTGTCCTTGTAGGAGGCTTGCCGGTGATTTCTCTGAGTACCGAGATGACCTTTCATGGGAGGCAGATTTCTGTTCCACAAAGTCACACCTGGCTTCCTGTCTGTCACAGTCCCTGGGGCTTTCTTTCTTGCTTGGCAGGTCCAAAGCCATTTCTCCTTGCCTACTCGATTGTGTGTGGCAGTAGGCAGTTGTCACTATCATTGTTAGATGTCACTGTATGGACAGGAGAAATCTGATTTATGTAATATTTTGAAAGAAAGGAAGTTCCGTGAATTTTAAGAACAGAGAGGTTTGGGGAAAACCTTTAAACAATGATTAGTTCTTTTTAATCTGAATATTAATTGTTCAAATCAGAGTAAAAATAAGTCTTTTGAATTGCAGTTTGATCTTTGATTTTTCATGTTCCCTATAATCTTTTTTAATGCTCTTGACTTTGAGAATAACTTTTCTCTTGAAACCATCAACCTGGCCTGTCCCTGTACAAATTCTGAGCTGATGACATCAAACAATGAGGCCGTATAAAATGCATGCTTCTCTGCCATCGTAATTGATCACTGGGAACATACCGTCACACTGGAAGCTTCTTCCGCATGTGGCCTGGTGGTGATGGGGTGGTGAGGGCTGACATCGCCTTGAAAGCGCTCATCTCTTTCCAGATATTTGTGGACAACTTCGTCCATGCGGACCTTCACCCCGGGAACATCCTGGTCCAGGGTGCTGACGGTCTTTCCAAGGGCCAAGAGGCGCAGCTGCAGCATGTGGACGTCTGTGACACGCTGGTGGTGGCTGTGACGCCTGCCCAGTGCCCGCTGTGCCTGGTGCTTCTGGATGCTGGCATCGTGGCCAAGCTGCAGGCCGCTGACCTGAGGAACTTCCGGGCAGTCTTCACAGCCGTCGCAATGGGGCAGGTGAGACCCGCTAGGCCCTCAGGAGTTGGGCCCAAATCTTTTACGCTCTTGGGTACTTCAGGGGTCCTTGGCCTTCGTCATTCTGGTAAATGCCTGTTTGCCAGGGGAGGTCCCTGATGGGACGTCAGGGGTCTTTAGTCAGAATGTGCCGGTGCCCACGGCTGACGCCAGTTTCAAGCAGCTCATGGTTTGGGATGGCAAGAAACGCCTCCTTCCCAAACGTCGTCGGGTGGTGGTGGTTTCTCTTCCTTCTTCTGCACTTGTACAGAGGGGACTAGGACGGCCGGCTCCCTGACTAAATAACGGCTGCCTCCTCTGTGCCATCTGCCGTGATGTGGAGCGTCGGTGACAAGCAGCAGCACAGAGAACTTATTCTCCAAGTGCAGGGAGACATGTTGGAACCTCTGGTGTGGGGGAGCGTGGGTGGTTTTTAATCCCCTACCCCGTGATTCTGAGGGGCTCCAGAGGCTGAGAATTATTATTTAGAGAAAGGGATTCAGCAAAGCCTCTATGGAGTCAACTTAGGGCTACATCAAAGTGACGATGAAAAAACTCTCTGGGTGGCTGGTACCAAATTCTCCAGCAAGAAAGACCCTGGGAAAGAGTGAGCTGCTAAAAAAAAAGGCGAAATTCAGGGAGTCTCTGCTCAGGGAAATTCTGAGGGAGCAAAGGCTTGAGCCTGAGCCAGTTTAGAAGTGTCCCCTGGGAGCGGGTTAAACACTGGGTGCAGTGGTGGGTGGGTGGGGGCGTTCCCCAGCACAGGTTTGGGCAGAGGAGGAAGGGCACAGCCCAAGGAGAGAGAGCGTGGCTCCCGGGGCAGTGCTGCGGAAGGTGGAAACGCATTAGCAATGCCCACCAGGGCAGGCAGGTGTTCAGGGAGACCATGGACGCTGTGGTCAGAGGGTGTCCTGGGCAGAGGTGAGGCGAGATGGCTGGAAAGCAGAGGCTGGGTCAGCTGTGAGGAGGGGACTCTGCTGGGGCAGGGAGACAGCCCATGAGGAGAGTAGCTGGTCCAGCCTCCTGGAAGGTCTTGGTGGCTCTGGGGCCAGGCTGGTTGGTGAGCAGTGCTTGCGAGAAGTATGCGTAGCAGGACACTGGCTTTGAGGCTGTGCCCTGGGTGGCCCTGGAGGGCAAAGGGGACAGTGCAACGCCTTGCCCTGACTGCGCTAAGCACAGGTAAGATCCCACTGACCAAGACAGACTTCAAATGAGTGTCAATTACCAGGTATTCTGGAGGTGCAGAATTACAAAGGATGGGTGGCCAAAAGCAGGAAGGTAGAAGAATTAGATGGAAGCAACTTGGACATGAAGAAGTTTGGGCAGAGTATCTGCCCTCCTGACTCTACCACGTTTCTTTTCTTTTGCATCTTTCAGGGCCAAAGAGTGGCTGAGCTCATCCTGCATCACGCTCGGGCCAGCGAGTGCAGGGACGTGGAGAGGTTCAAGGTTGAGATGGCCACACTGGTGACCCAGGCCAGGAAGAACACCATCACCCTGGAAAAGGTGAGCAGCCCGCTCGAGGGGCAGGGGCCTGTGTATTTCCCTTGTCCTTGGACAAAGCACACCCTAGATTGAAGGAAACCTCTTCATGGGGAGACGTCTCGAGGGGGAGTGAGTTTTAAGGCAGATGAAGAGCAAACCTTTCCTTTGCCCATATCTTCCCGGTGGAAGGAGGGCCGCTGAGATCTGTGGCTTCCAAGAGTGGTTCTCTGGGGTGGCTGCTGGGAAAGTGACATTTTATAGTGTCCCCCCCTTCCCTAACAAACCTGACCGTCTTCTCCCCAAGTTCACGGTCTACACTGGCAGTGAGGAGAAGCAGCTGGTACCCCGGCACTGCCCATCTTCCTTACTCAGATGTGGTTTTTATTATATGTGTGCTGGGAGTCGACACACACACAGGGGTAGCTGGGCCTCCAGGCCTGTCCCCTGGAAGGGGTCTCTGCACTCAGACTCGAGATGGGAGTTGGGCTCGTGCATGTGCAGTTCCTCTGGAGTTTGTCGACAGTCCCTTTCCACTCACTTGCGTGCGTGCGTGCGTGTGTGTGTGTGTGTGTGTGTGTGTGTGTGTGTGGTGTTGGATGGGGGGTTGGGACAGGGACCTGAGAGGGAGAGAAGCCGCTCCTGGGGGCTCTGCACTCTCTGCAGTCAGCTTTATTCTCTTTTCCAGCTTCAAGTTTCCAGCCTTCTCTCGAATGTCTTTAAGTTACTGATGACTCACAAGGTGAGGCCCTCTGCTCAGGCTGGAGGGGCGGGCCCTGGGGAAGCCAGTGGGTGGCCACAGAGTGGTGAGAGGTACCCCTCTTATGTGAGGCCTCGATTTTCAAAACATCTTTCATACCAATGATTTGCGTAAAGAGAGCTCTTTCTGTGTCCTGACTCGGTATAGCAGGCTCTTCCTTTGTCACTGTTAGTCTGTGTATCTGTCAGCCTATGCCATCTAAGTAGCTGTGATACTTAAGTAGCTGTGAAAAATAGGGCTGTGTGGCCTCTTCTTCCTGTCCTTGTCCCTTGGAGGGAGGTGGCCTCATGGTTCTTCCCCTTAGCCTTTGCCTGGGCTCTGGCTCCTTGTGACGGAGTGTGGTCCTCAAAGTAATGGTGCCAGCCAACCGTACAAGTTGAGGGTGGGGAAGACTTGTCTGAAGATGGCCTTTCCCGTTGGTTCTCTGGAGGATCTGCAATCTGACAATGCAACACCGCATGGAAAAGGCAGCCATTTGGCAGGTATAAGAGGCCGAGAGCAGATAGCGACAGGGTTACCTAGAACTCTCTCTGTGTCAGTGGGCTTTGGAAAGAACCACTTTTCTTCTGTTTCAGGTAAAGCTTGAAAGCAACTTTGCCTCAATTGTGTTTGCCATCATGGTGCTGGAGGGGCTTGGCCGCTCCCTGGACCCCAAACTGGACATCCTGGAGGCAGCAAAGCCTTTCCTTCTGAAAGGACTAGTGTCCCCTCCCTGACGGTGGCAAGGGGCACGCAGTGGGCCTTCTTTCAGAACTGAAGGCCACTCATGACAGCCTCTCTTGCGGCAGCTTGAACATTTTCAAATTGGGCTGTGCGGAGGGCATACCATCGCTTTTCATCCTGATTTGGCTTCAGGCGTCTGTTTTACCAGCTTTGGGTTATTTGGGGAAGTCAAGGGAGGGAAGGGTGCTATCCATTCATTTGTAGAAGCTGGTGGGAGACTCTGTTTCAGGGAAACTGTTCTGTGGAGGAGCATGAATAAACTTAGTTATTTTGTTTTCTTGTTTTTCTCTCTTGTCTTCTTAATCCTCTGTTCTCCCTGATCAGGTGGGTCAGGATGCTGATAATTAGGTTAGAAAATGTCCTAGACGCTGATAATTAGGTTAGAAAATGTCACAGGATCCTGTAGTCCCATGGCTTCCAATTCTTTTGTATGTACCCTTGCCAAGTTGAATATATTTATGTACACATACATGTATACTTCATTTATAAATTTTACGCAGGTGATTATTTCCACTAGCAAATCTCTTGAAGGCACACTATACACTTAGGGCAAATTTCACTATACTTCACATTATTTTCTTTATAATTTTAAAAACATTTTGCTGACTTCTTGTTAAATTTTATTGCAAGGTGAAAAAGAAAAGCAGTGATTAATGTGGCTGACATATGAGGGAGAGGAGCAGAATCAGCTCTGTTCTTTCCTTACAGCTCCCCTGTGCTTGCATATTCGTGTTTAGACTGCTTTCTCTGAGCACTGTTCAGGCCCTTTGTCCATTTGTCCAGGGCTAATTGTGCTTAATATTAACATATAGATAATGTAATCAGCACAGCCTCTTAACCAGGGCTTGACATCTGCAGTAGCACCGGGACACTCCAGCAGTGAATTACGGCAGGCCACTGCGTGCCCCTCCGTGCTGGGCTCACCCACGGATGTTCTCTCAAGGCTGACCTGACATGTGGCTGGCCCACATGGACTAAGAGAATCCCAGGTTTAGTTTGTAGAGTGGGTATTAGTAAAGCTTGATTTCTTGTTTTTCTAAATAAAAGTAGTATTTTCTGCCACATCCCAGTGGATTCTCTTGCTTGTTTTGGAGACCACTGCTTTAGACAGTGAGTGGAAGGTCAAGCCTTCCTGCTCTCTGAAAGCCCCGCTCTGGGCACAGGACTAGATTCTTCCATTCTCTCCTTCTCAAGGATAAAGTTCCTTTTAGGGAGCAAATAAGGTTTCGTTGGACAGAGGCACCTTTGGTGCAGTTCTTTTCAGAGGGGTGGGGATGTTATTTTTACTTCCTAAGTCTTGAAGGGAGGGCATTCTAATCGGGCAGTGAGGGACTGGGGTGGCTCCAGGTAGCTGGGGGGTGGGGAGCAGTGGTGCTGTTCAGCTCCCTCCTCATGGCACACCAGCCAGACACACGGGGGCCCCCCTGTGCCAAGTGCATATACGCTTACACTGTGGGGCAACAGAGGGGGCACCAACAGAGCAGGTACCTTCCTGAGTATCACCATCACCACCAAGCCTTTCCTCACAGCCAATGGATTTCGTCAAGTCATCTGTAGTATGTATGAGTTACCTGTCACTGCATACAAACCACCCCCAAAAGTATGGCTTAGAATGACACTTATTATCTCACTGTCTGCAGGTCAGAAATCTGGGTGCAGCTTACCCAGCTCCTCTGTTCAGGGTCTCACACAGGCTGGAAGCATCCTGAGGCTCCACAGGGGTGGGTCTGATGCCAAGCTCACTCGTGTGGCTGTTGGCACAATTCAGTTCCTCATGGGCTGTTGGACTGAGGGCTTCGGTTCCTCAGGAGCAGTGATAGCAGCAACAGAAAATGAACAGAGGCTGTATCAAAGAGGAGAAAAATGGTTAACAGATGTGCTTTAATATAGGTGATCTGCTGAATTTTAAAACAAGTATCTAAAAAAAATTGCTAAATTTGATTTATAAAGTCATCTTCTTAAGAAGGAGAAAAGGCTACTTTCTTGGGTCTAAGTGGAGAAAATGGCAGCATGGTATTTCCCCTGAAGAGAGATCACAGCTCGATCCCGTCTAAAGTATTAATAAAAAGTACAGGTTCAATTCAGTGTTACTAAAACCACTGAAAGGATGAGTTCCTTTCTTCTTTCCAAGACTTTCTCTTTCCAAGAAAGCGAGATTAAGCAAGCCTTTAAGAGTAGGAAATTAAACATGAAATCTTGTGAACAATGTTTTTCCCTTATCCTCTTGCTTTGTTTTCTAGTTCCAGGTATAAAATAGGTTCTTGATTTGGGGTTAGATGCCCTATGCCAGGTCATTTAGAATTTGTCCTCACAGTCTGTCAACATTTGGTAATTTGGTTTGCATTGAGAAGCTGCAAGCTCAGTGCCAATGTTTGGCATCCTCTCCCTCATCTTCTAAAATGCATCCATTCAAAGAGGGTGCTCATCTGAGACCCAAAAAGAGGGCCACCGTGCAACCTGCAAAAGGCAGTAAGGAATCTCTGCCCTTGGGGTTCTTAACGCATGTCTGCAAAACAAAATGTGTCACTGCTACGTAGTCAAAATAGTTTATCAAGTGGGACCATAAACTTTTTATAGTAAAAAAGTCAGAATTTGTGATGTAAAACATTAAAGCTAAGGACCCCACACATAGTCTATAGATCAATATTACTTTAACTATTGGCTTGTCAGAAAAGTCATGACGCATTTTTGCAGTGAAAAACAGAGAAAAAATATGTCATGACTTTTCCGACAACCCAATACAAGCAAGCATTGAAGTTAAAACGTTTTGTTTTGTAATTCAGCAAGAAAGATGGGGAGGGTGAGTGAATTTTAGTTCATCTGAATAGCTTTCGCTACCAGGAAAGGGAGGTATAATACAGGACTAAAAATTTCCCCTGTACATGCTGTGGGCCAGGTACTGTCTTAAATGACTCAAATTCGGATGAGGGCCACAGACATTCAGAGAAGCAAAGTGACTTGTCCACATTCATAGAGCTAATAAGTGGCAGAGCTGAGGTCTGAACTCCAGATAGATCTTCAGACTCCAAGTTCAATGCTCTTTTTTGTTTAAGCTGTGCCTTTTGTGTGTGGCTTTGGAATTACAGCATTGTTCTTTGCTGGGAGCAAGGCAGCTGTATAGCTTGGGCAGCGAGTTCCCCTAGGAAGAATGGCAAGCCCTGTCTTCCGGATTCATGAACTTCCTATCTTAGTGGTTTGTACCTTTCACAAAGGGTAAGTGGTGAATGGTAGCCCAGATATGGCCACACTGTTGTACATCAATGGGAAAGTCAACTTTCATCCAGAAAATAGTGGGGTTTTTGTTTTGTTTTTTTCTATAATTTATATACTTAGAGGTTAGGAGGGCAGGAGGACAGGGGAGAGAATCCTACAGGGCCAGAGGGTCAAACAATAGACTGTTCAGAAGGATGTGGTGCAGCTGAGCAATCATAAGCTTTACACTGGCCTATCTCCAGGGAGAGAGGTTTCCTATTACAGGGCACATGGAGGACCATATTTTGGCACAGAAGTTTTATTCAAAGCTATACTCAAATGCACTCAAGTCCCTAAATTCAGGTCTATATTTCTCTCCATAAATATCCCATTTTAATGTTTGTGGCTGAATGTGAAATCTTCGGTGCTCTGCAAGTGATCCATTTCAAATTGAAATCGCCAAGGTGTAAGGCAGGGAGGCTAAATTTATGATTGAATCAAACCTGCAGGTGCTTAGAATTACAGTCCGTAGGTGGAGTTCCTAAAAATTTGGGAAGGGGGCGTTTAGAGGAGCGTGGAGTTCATCCAGGATTTAATAAAAGGCACTATTAAGAGACAAAAGCTAAGAAGCCAGGTCTGGCTGGGGAATCAAGGAATTAGAAACACTGCATAAACTGGAGGACGTGCTAAAGACTTAATCAGAATATCTGGGGTCGGGCTCTTCAAGGGACTTTGATACCACTAGTTCATGTATTGATATTTGGGAACTACTGGCTGCAGCTGGTCAAGTTCAAGTTTGCAGAACAATAAACCAAGCGAGACTTGGAGATACCGCTGCGAGCCTCTTGCGGGAGAAAACAATTCAAAGGACTAGCATTGGGAAGGACCACTGGTTCACAAAGGGTTTGGCAGCCTAGAGGGTGTCTGTAAGGCAGTTAATTCAGGAGCAGACAGAGTGGCAGGTCCGGGTGTGCAAACGCCACCTCGATCAGCATAGGTGGGGAGGAGCGAGTTCAGGCTCCAGCGTTACTAAGAGGCGCTTTGGAAGCGGGGCGTCGGGGCCGGGCCCCTAGGGTGACCCCACCTCACTTCCCGAGGCCTCGTTCGCCCTTCTCCAGGGCGAAGCGCGTGGCTCCGCCCAGCAGAGCACATCAGGGCCGTCACTTAGCAACGCCAAAGGCCGACGACACCGTTCGCTTTTCGGAAAGCGCCTCCTCACCATCGCAGCCGCGACACGCCGGGTCCCTCTGTGCGCAGGTAGGGAACGAGATGCTACTTTGAGACGAGCACCGCTGCTTCCCGCCCCCGCAGACGTCATATTCTGGAAGTAGGGCGGCGCCGCTGACGTCCGGGGCGGGGCGTCGGGGGGAAGTGACGTGCAGCCGGGGGTGGGGCCTGGGGGACCACTGCAGGGACGTGGACTGGCATGTCTGCTCTGACGCGGCTGGCGCGTTTTCGCGGTGGAGGCCGCCTCTTCAGAGGCCTCTGCGCCCGCGAGGCTGGAGGCGGAGGAGTCCGTCAGTGAGTGTCGCCTGCGGGGTGGGATCTTCGCCTGCTTCTAATGCAAAGCGCCAGTCTCCCAGACGCCCTCACCTTGACGCCGGGCGCCTGGGACGGACTCGGTTCCCTGAGGCGACCTTCACCCCGAAGCATGGTGGGATTTGTAGTCCGACCGCGCGTGGGGCGGTGCCTTCCTCCCGCTCCGCGACGCGGAGGGGTCTGGGAAAGCGGGGTACCGTGGGGGCTGGGGGAGATTCTTCGCCAGGCAGGTATTAACTCCTGGGTGTCGGGCTATCCCTGCACCAGGGGGAGCCTGCCCTCGGGAAATTCACAGTTGGATGTGGAAACAAGCTGGAGCTTTTCTGGAAGCGAGAGGGGTTGGGGAGGCGAGGGCGGTCCCGGCCTAGGAACCCCCCCCCGCCCCCATGGTTTTAATGGTGCAGCATCTATATTCATAGATAGATCCTGAGTAAATACTGTTAAATAGAATTGCCAATATGATGGCATTACAGAAACAGTATGATATTTTGTTTAGGTTGTAAAGCAGTGATGCTTGATGGAGCCTTGTTAAAAAAATACACATATTTATGCATATACACACGTATGCAAAAAAGAATAAAAACCACCTCTTATACAACCCATAGCTAATGAGTTAATATTTTATGTGGAGCTTTCCAAAGAAAAGTATTCTATATTGGATAAATATTTTACATAAAAGTGGAATTTTATCACTTCAGTGTAGTAATGTTGGTTTTATCATTCTGATAGGATTTGTAATTAGGAGTTGTGTCTTTGATTCATAAAATGAGAAAATTATTAGTGTTTGTTTATGGGCAATATTTAGGAGTTTAGGCTTTGCCACCGAATAGTACTCCAGTGTCCAGATCTATAAACATTAATAACCATAGGATCTCGCTCTCAAGATGGTTATGAAAATTAAATAATGCATATAAAATGCTTAGGACATGGTGCCTGACACATAGACACTGAGTAAATCGTAACTTAATATTTTACAGTGAGAGAAAAAAAAGTACTAGGTAATATGTTATCAAGAACCATAGAAATATTAAAGTGTACAAATCTACACATTTTAGTCCAGTTTTGTACAAGTATTCATTTCTGTGCTGTGCAAAAGAACATTGTTTTACAAGCTGATTCTTACACATTTTACATAGGAATTCTCTTTAAGTTTCTATATCCATTTCTGTGGAGGGGCATAGGCATAGCTGCTGAATAGGACTTGAAAAGAGCCCCATTAAGTACAAATTATATTATTTAAATTAGACTCAGTGTATAATAATCCATCTGCTGAGTACAGCCCTTATGGATTGTATCCCACAGCTTGTCAACAAAGGAAAAAACAAAAATAAAAAACTTAATCCAACTTACTCTTTAAGGCTCTTTGCTGTGTTCATAGCTATTATTAGCTTATTAAAAAGGATAAGTCCTCTTTCCCATATAGTGATCTTTTTTTTTTTTTAAAGATTTTTATTGGGGAATTGGGGGAAGGGGAACAGACAAGTTGCTGTCCTCTTGTTCTTCAGTCTAGTTGTGGAGGACGTTGCTTCACTGGCCCAAGTTGGCACCATCATTGCGCTCTTCCCGGGCGAGGCAGATCAGTCGCCTGCTTCTGGACGGCCGCTCACTGCGGCTGCTGGCCGCTCACGCTGGCTGCTGGCTACACACGGTAGCCCATGGCAACCCACTGCCACAGGGGCTGCAGCCTACGCCGTCGCCGGCGAATCACGGCAGCCCAGCTCCAGGTTGAGCTGTTGTTCAGCATCTTAGCTGTGGAGGGCAGTGCCACTGGCCCTCATATGTGGGATCCAAACTGGGGCCCTCTGGCGTCCCAAGCCAGGTCTTAATCAACGCGCCACTCAGCTGGCCCCCATATAGTGATCTTTTAATGAAGATTGTTTTAATAATACAGCAGAGGACACAATTTGCCCTTGAAATAGATGGCTCAATAGAACAAAATTAATTTGCTTTCTTGTTTTTCTGATAAGGTAGTAACCTACTACTATATAGGTTCACCATCCCTTAACCAAAACTCTCCCCATTATCTACACGTTCTATATTTCCTGGTGCAAGATACAAGAATATTCACTAAAGGAAAACCACAGCCTCTTGTCAGTTCAGGTTAGTTTTTGCTGCTACACAAGTTTAAAGCAAGCTTATAAAAAGCGAGTATTTTGAGGGGTTGTGGAGCTCTTGATCATTCTGGATTTCATGGAGGAGAGGAGAAATGTTTGGTTTCTGGATGTAGGTCATAGTTTTGGATGACTTAATACCTTGAAGATGTAGGAGGGTGCCTGACCTTTTCCGTTTTTCCCGTAGTGCTGGTGGCGGTGTGCACATTGGGCCCCGGTACCGACAGTTCCCCCAGCTCACCAGGTCCCAGGTGATCCAGGCCGAGTTCTTCAGCGGAACCATGTGGTTCTGGATCCTCTGGCGCTTCTGGCATGACTCGGATGCTGTGCTGGTGCGTGTGGAACATTCTCTTTTCTGGGGGTGGGGGGAGGGAGAAATAGTAATTGTTTAGCTTTTTTTTTTTTTTTTTTTTTGTCTGTTTGTGGACTGTTTTTCTATCTGGATACAGTAGTCCCCTCCCTTACCCGTGGTTTTACTTTCCTCGGTTTTAGTTATACGGGTTAACCTTGGTCCAAAAATATTAAATGGAGAATTCCAGAAATAAACAGTTCATGTGTTTTAAATTGTGCACCATTCTGAGTAGTGTGATGAAATCTCACACTGTCTCGCTCCATATCAGCCGGGATGTGAACCATCCCTTTGTCCAGCGTCTCCACGCTGTATATATACACTTCCTGTCTGTTAATCACTTAGCAGCCATCTTGGTTATCAGAGCGACTGTCAGAGTATCACAGTGCTTGTGTTCAAGTCACCACTATTTTACTTAATAACAGCCCCAAAATGCAAGAGTAGTGATGCTGGCAATTGGGATATGCCACAGAGAAGCTGTAAAGTGCTTCCTTTAAGTGAAAAGGTATGTACGAGTATGTATAGGAAAAAGGGTATTTGTAGGGATTAGTAGTAGCCTTAATTTTAGCCATCCACTAGGGGACTTGAAACCTATCCCACATGGACAAGGGGGGACAACTGTTATGTCCCTTCACCATGTTGTCCTGTGTGTGTGCAGGAATCCTGTAGGTAATGAAACTTACTATGTCTCACCTTTCGAACTCAAGGATGCACATGGAGGTGGTCCATGTCTTAACGTTTCTGTTAGTTTGCCATATTTGGAGGGAGACTAGAAACTAATCCTTCTCCTTCTGAACTAGGTGTTCATTGGTGGGTTAAGTTTTACACTTAAATCCTTTAAGTGATGAATGTCATCTAGTCTGTCCAGAAGTCCAAGGCAGCCAGGTTGGGGTGGGACAGACATGGGCTAATTTGTTGTGAGGAGGGAAGTTAGTTACTGGTGACTTTCTAACACATCATTAGCCTCAACTGAGCTTTTATCACATTTGTACAGACCCTGTTCTCTAGTAGGAGATGACGGCGTTAAGCCACTAAAATCTGTGCCTGTTGATGCAGAATACCTTGAATTTTAGTAAATTTGGTTTTGTTTTTAGGGTAGGAAAAACATGTTACATTTAAACAGCGTACCAGCTTTAGAAGCATCAGGTTGATCAATAGCCCGTTTCTCTAAGAACTTCTCTGTGCCCTTGTTGCCCAGTAAGGAGCTGGCAGCATGGAGACACCTATCTCACTGTAGGTCAGCTGAGACGATAGTGCAGCCTTAGGTCAGGGTCGAAGATGAATGAGGCCACCTGATGCTCCTAGATCTCCCAGCAGGAATGACAGGACAATTTGAGACAAGTCATTGTGTTTTGCCAGGGCTTCACGACATTGTTGAGATGTGGGGTATCTTTGATATCTCTTGCCTCCATCCCTGCTGCCCTCCATCACAAACACATTCTCAAATCCTGGCTCAGGTTGGGAACTTTAGAACAGGCAGGCTTTTCAAGTGCAGGCCACAGCTTACGTTGAGCAGACTGAAGAACAGTTGGACCATCAAGTAGTTGAAGTAGTAGAATTTGTTACTGTGGTATGTCAAGGGCCGTGTATATGAGTCTTATGACATTTTTTTTTCCTGTTCCAACATTTCTTTTTAAATGTGATTGTGTGGAGTATAGATTCTTGACTTTTTTTTTTTTTTTTTAATGATGTCACCAGGGTCACTTTTCATATCCAGATCCTTCCCAGTGGACTGATGAAGAATTAGGTATCCTTCCTGATGATGAGGACTGAAAGTGCAGACTCAACTCTTTACAAGTCAGTATGCCCCAAATTCCTTTTAAAGTTATGTTTACTTTTTGTCAGTAGACATATTTTGACTTTGTATCTATGATGGTCATGAAGAAACAGTGCATTTTCTAACAGCATGAAGAACAATCATCTGTATCATGTGTCTAATTTCTACCTTTATTATTGTCAAATTTGCTCCCTGCCCTCTGGTCCTATCTTCCTTTTCATTGTATGTTTTCAAAGTTCTCTTTTCTTACGTTATGCTACAATTTAGGGTTCCATTTATCCATCAAAGTACCAACTGCACAGGGATTACAGGGGTGGACAAGACACATAGGAGCTTACAGTGTGTTTGTAGTTGCATAAATACTAGTGATCTACCCTTAGCATTTACATGGCAATGCATATGGGAATGTTATGATATGGAATTGCATGGAAATTCTTTAAACAGTAGAAGGTTATGACCCTTTCATTTTTCATGTCAGGAAGTCAGTTTTTCTTCTTTCAAAAGGAAGGTACGAGGAGGAGTTGCTTTCCCTACCAATCCCCTCGGGTTCAGACATTTGGGTTTTACATGTTTTTAAACTAATCATTGCACAATTATAATTGCCATCCTTCAAAATGCCTTGGAAATTGTTTTAAAAGATAGGAAGCATTAAGTGATAGTTGAATATCCCTCTCAAGTCATATTATTAGTATTGCCTTTATTATTCATTAGAAGTAGCTCATTGACATGGAAGTTACAGCAGTTTTGGGGGGTATGTAGGGAAGAGAGGGATGGGAAAAAATGTCACCAAAGGGCAGGCAGTTTTACAGCTTGTCGTGTGTCTGGCTTTGTTATGGCCAGTCGTAGCAGGCCGCCTGCTCCCACCGTGTTAACGTGCCTGCCAGCACCAACCTCTTCCTATCCTACCAGTTTCCCAATACTCCCCCTACACAAGCATCATCCTTTTGTTTTAGTAACTCGACTGAGCAAGGTGATTTCACTTCCCTCCTCTTCAAGGCTACTTACGTGACTGGTGCTCCGTGGGTGCTCGATAACTGAGTGAACAGAATTGTGAATTATTGAAAATAAGAGGACTCAAAGCTTTCTACTTTTCTTTTCCTGCAGGAACCAGATGAGACTGTCAAGACATGATGGACTTCACATTGTATATTAAAGTTGTAAATTAAAGTTTTGGTCGAGAATGAGGAACTGAGTTATGGATGTTTGTGCTCATGACAACTCCCCTTTCTGGATTATTCCCTGTGCTCCCAGCTGCTCTGCTACCTGGTAGAGCCCCTTCCAGGGGGTCCCCCTGGCTATCCCATGGCGCAGATGACCATTAGCTCCACTTATCAGTGAGGACATAGAAGCTCAAGGGGATGAAATAACTTGCTGAGGGTCTCACACTGAGTGGTGACATTGGGTCAGCCCCACACATAACTACAGTGTCATACTGCCTGCCTCCTTGGCTAACATCTAGGTCATCCATATAGTGACAATTCATGAGCAAACTCCTGCCATCTCTCTACTGCCAGTGTATTCCTGCCCCGAGTATGCAGAGCTTAGAGTTCAGGGCAGTCCATTTATTGTGTTTAAGTATCTCTTGTGGGTTAGGCACTGTGTTGAGGGGCCGTTTGTGGAACTCATGAGACACTAACTAGGAATGTTAGGAATGGAGACGAGGAAATAGGATATTCTACTTATAAAATTTGTTTCAGAGTGCTTTCCAGCTGTCTGTAGCATCCCAGTTCTGAGTAGGTGGGACAGAATTTTCCTCTATCCACAGATAAAGTCTGCAGTAGAGAATGTGTAATGATTTGCCTAGAAGCATAACGATTCGTATTTGTAATTTAGGTCTTTGTTTGTTTTTTAGCTGAGCCATCCTGCCACCTGTTGGCAGCTCAACTCGGGCCGGGCATCAAACTGCTGTTGCTCAGAGCTCGCGCTCTTGAGTGAGCTTTTAACCAACTGAGCCACTCGGCTGGCCCGTAATTTAGGTTTTTGACCATGTAGGCATTGGGAATACAATACTACACAAGACAGGTAAGATGCACAGAGAACTTAGATTTTAGGAAGGGAAGACAGTAAGGTTTACTAAGTGCTCTGAAGGAAATGGCATTGGGTGATGTGCTAGAGATGGGTGGTTTTGGGTGGACAGGGAAGGCACTTGAGCTGAAACCTGAACAAGCAGGAAGAACAGATTGTGTGAGTGTGTGAGGAAAGAAGGCGCTCGGGACCAGGGACAGCAAGGACCAAAGTCTAGGGTGGGACCAAAATCTCCGTGTTTGGAACTGAAAGGCCAGCGGGGTTCTGGCAGGTGAGTTTGGGAGTAGGTGAGGGTATAGGTCACGGGGGCAGGCTTAGATACATGTTAAATGCACTGAGCAGCCTCTGGCTGACAAAGGGTGTCATCGGAATAACTGCAGTGGAGGAAGCGGAAACGCTGCCCTCTGTCAACTCCATGAACAGAGGCTTGCCTGATTAGTGATGACAACGGCCAAGTGGAGTAGGCCTCGTGCAGCATCCATATCTAGCCACAGGCTGTCATGAACTCAACACCAAATTTTACTGTTGGCCTTATGACCACAGCAAAATTATACAAAGTACAGTGTCAGTCTTTTTTTTTTTTTTTTTTAAGCTGAGCCATCTTGCTACCTATTGGCAGCTCAGCTTGGGCCAGGAATCGAACCGGCAACCCTGTTGCTCAGCGCTCACACTTGAGCGAGCACTTAACCAACTGAGCCATTCGGCTGGCCCCAGTGTCAATCTTGGAAACAAAGGTCCTGACTGTGAGTCCTGGCTACATGAGCCCAGGCAAATCATCCTTGGGGCTTCATATTCAGTAACTGCTAGGGGAGTCAGACCAGATTATCTTCAAGAATTCTCTATTTTACATGTCTAGGACAACTATATAACCTACACACTAGGTCCAGTGATCATAGCTTCTGATAAAAATTTGAAATAGCTAGTGTGGTAGGGTTCCTGATAATAGAATTTTATCAAATAACGAAAGCATTCACAATTCTGGGCTAAATTTTCAGGAAAACCTCTTATAGAATAATATATTCTTTAAAAATAAGGTCACAGTTACTCTGTTGTAATCATGTATGAAGGTCATTTAGAAAGTGAGTTTCTAAAATGTTTGTATTACAAAATTCCATTTCCCGGATGAGAAAACGGCAGTTCAGAGAAAATATGTTAAGTCTGGTCGGCAATTCATGGTTAGCTGCAAGGGCATGAGGACCAGAAGCCAGATTCCTCAAATATGGGCCCTCTTGAGGGATCTGTGCCTTTACAGTGTTCTCAAACATAAGTTTCCAGGTGAAGTTTCGAAAGTGTTTACCTTCCTTCTGGGAACTGCCCAGCAATTACACATAGTTTGAAGATACTCTAGGTATCTTTTAGTCTTCAGGTATTGACATTGGATGCACAAGATCAACTCTTTGGGGTAGCCAGCATCTTACAAAAATGAAGTAAAAACTATGTGTGCCTACTTGCAAATACACGTTTGTGCACAGTCTGTGTTCCTACAAAGAATGTATTATTGCAAGTTGTGTCAAAAAACTTCGATAGACACAATTTTAAGGGGAACTTCTCTAGACAGACTCCTTAAATGACTCAATGACGGCATGGACTTCAACTGAGCCCCTGGAAGGGGGCAGTCAGGTCACAGTGTCATAAACTACTTGCGGGTCATCAACAGTGGACACGAGACTGTCACCACGACATCAGTGTAGGTAGGTACAATGCAGCAGGCACTCATCTTGACAACTTACTTTAAAATGACTTCTCCTGTAACTTCTACCCACCGAGCTGTAATGGACATTGTGCACGAACGTACATTTCCCAGTCTCCATTGCCTGCAGGACTGTCAAAATCCTGACTACTTCCATCATTGAATGTGATAGTGCTAGAAAAACAATCTTGATAAAGACTTCTCCATGCAGTCAATCTTTATTATAGCAGTATTCGCATATTCACATCAAGTACATAGAACTTTTTTGCCTTTTATATAATACAGAGTTTTTTAAATAACTTTACACAGAAATAAATTTCTTCAATCTGAATTTCATCTATCTTTTTATTTAATTCTTCATGCTTTCTATCCAAACTGAACAATATTTTCCATTGTACAAATTTACATGAGAAAAATTCCAAAGTACAAATGAAGGGACCTGAGCAGGAAAGAGAACCAAAGTATCAAGAAGTAGGTGTAGGGAAGAATTGGGGGGGAAAAAAATTCAAGCAAACACTGAGGATTAAGGAACAAGAGGGGAGACACCATCCATTTGACTGAAAATAAATGTCTTTTTTTTATGAATTGAAAAATAAGCTTTAAAAATAGTTACTCCATAGTAATTTTTGCAAAGCAGATATAGAGAGGTCTGTGGACAATTAAAAAGTCCCCATCTTTTCACTGGGCACACCCCAGACTCCATGAGAACCTCTTCAATGCTTGAGTGGAACTGAAGTGAATTAACCCCGAACCTTTGGCAGCAAAAGAGGAGAGGAATGTGTGAGACTTGCCCTAAGGTTTGGAGCAGTGAACCAGGCGCCATTAATTCGCCTCAGTGAAAACATGACGGGTCTCCCTTTCCCCTCCCTTAGAGAAGAATTGTCCTCAAACCAACAAATAAATGAGAAGGGGGGTGATTTCCTTTTTCTTGGTCCAAACCAAAGAGCAGTCACAACTACTGACTACAAGTCAAAGGAACATGTCAGTCAACAATCAAATTCAACCCCCTGATCAGCTGTACGCTCCCATTTCAGGAGAAACAGCAAATGCTGAGTGAGGAAAGGGTCAGAGTGGACCACCGACAAATGAGGCTACCACAGAAATGGGTGACCATGACGGTCCCCACATTGGGCGACATGAAGGCCCAAAGGAGACTGTAACGTGTAGCATGGCCTAAGGAAACAGAGGACCCGATGAATGCATTTTCAAATGACGGAGGGAAAAGGGTACAGCACATACACCTCTGTATGTAAACTAACACAACATGAAGATAAGACATAAAGGTTAGCCACTTACGTTGGTAATGAACGTGAATAAAAGGCATTATGTTCACATAGCTAGTTTGAAATCAGCTACGGAACATACACAAATGTAGAAGGAATGATTTTTTTCAAAAACCGTTCACAGCTTAGGATAAAAAGCACACTTATTGCACTCTTACATTTTATTTCAGATAATTATGGTTTATTTCCCACTCTCATGTCCATTTTTCCCTACCCTCAGACTTACTCCCACACCCTCCCCCGTTCTATTTGGTCCATTTTCTCTATATTTGTGCCTAGTTTGTGAGCTCTGTGGCTTCGTTTAGTCTGACGTGTCCTCCTATGTAACTCATACTCCACCAGAACACACATGGGTTAAAAAAGCTTAACGCACAAATGCAACACAATTTTCAAAAGAAAACTGGCACTAAGCAACTCACTCACAATCCCCATCTCTACCCCTGTACACGGAACCGTCCGCGGCCGCCTCTCCTATGTGGGCCTCAGGCCCAATCCCTCCACAGACACACTGATGAGAACCTGCCGCTCACGGGGGCTGGGCAACGCGCTCATTGCCAGGAGACACGGATGGTTTGCACAAATTGTTTTTGTTTTTTTTTCTTGGATACTAACATGAATGAACATGTTTCAGTTCATTGTTTTCAAAGAGTACTTCAATCTATAGAATTCTTCAAAAACAAATGCACCACAAAAAAATAGGTACATTGTGTCCTCATGCACAATTGCTTATATCACTGTAATTAGTCAAAACAGCTAAAAAAATTAAATGTTTTAATGAAACTGATGTAGTAATTAAACCTAAATTAACAATTGAAGTTGTGATGCTGAAATAAAAGTTGTACTGAAACATTCTTTTGAGGTGGGGACCAACTGTCCCCATGCAGTTTTAAATAAAGCACTGTTACCTCAATTGAAGTTTCTGTCCTCTTCTACCCTAAAAATACCCAATAGAAACTGTGAATTACCTTCTATAAGACTGAATTTCCATTTAAATGTCTTTGCCCAAACAGAAGTAAAAATAAGTTATCTGAAAAGAACAAAACAAAGCTTCCTGTCTAGTGTATGGATATAAAACAAAACCCTTTCTGCTGTTTTCAGTGTTACCAGAGCTAGCAACATGGAGCATGAATCCAAGGGCACCACATTCTCCGCTGGCCAGTGTGCCAACCAGGCAGAGGTGCTACTGTGCTCCTGGGTGCTCCACGACCCACACGCATGGTGACACGCCTTCGCAAACATCTAGAGACCTCGCTGAAGACTACACTGCCTCTTTGGGGTGGTGAGGAATGAAGCAAGATACAAGAGGCATAGCAGGGAGTGTGTCCAGTCCACATCCACTGGCCAGGCCATTCACTAGTCCAATAATGCCCCTTTATAAGAGCTCCTCATACCCCCCCACCCCGGACACCCCACCTGTCCCCATAGCACCCCAAACAGCATTAGCAGCACAGGCCTGCGGAATCGGCCAACCAGTCCTGGGAGGCGAGTTTCCATTTCAAACTCTGAAAAATCAGTGTCTTGGTTGGCAGCAGTACTCTAGAAACTGATAAAATCACATTCTGTCCCGTATTTGAATTTCCTTCCCCTTCCTAAGTTAATACACACGATTGCTGCCCAGCATACCATACTTCAACCCTAAACTACAGCAACTTCTTAAAATGTCTGTCCAACATTTCTGTTATATAAAAGTTCCATGCTTTGAAGAACCTATGGGAGTAGAAAAAGTTTCTCTAGAAATGTCACTGAACTATAATTTCAACCTATTTGCTCTATGTGATAAATACATCTGACTATACTAGGGATTATGTGCTTTAAAAAAATAATTTTGTTCACTGAAAATTTACGTGTGTTTTTTTTCATTTTTTTAAAATGTGATTTTGGCTATAAACTCTTTAGTGCATTTATCTTTGCAGTCTAAATTGCACTCTAAAAAATATTAACACAACTGAGTCAGACCAGAGTGGCTGCTCTCTTCACAAATCACTGATTTCTGCTAAAATTTTAGCTTTTTTATTGCATCATGAAGGCACAGTAAGATCATTTGGCAAATTATCAAGGTATTTTTCTAGAGCCTCACCTACGCCATTTCAATGGACAATCTGTAAGCTATTTCCTGTTCATACAGTAAACCTTCCATGTCTGGCTACGTGTTTTTTTGTTTTTAATACCCTAATGGTTGGAATCTGTTAGTCTCAAGGTGCTGCTATTCTAGCACTAACAATGCCAACTTGAACAAAGAAGAGAATCTTGCAAAATGGGGACTCATTCTCTACCCTCTTAGCTGGGCAGGTCTCTCTATAGGAGTATCTGTGCATGTGACAAAACTGTGGCTAACTCATTATGAAGATGGACTGTCTTGCCAAGCCCACTAAAAACTAAAATTTAATCATTGTCAGTGGAGTGATACCATAATTTTTTAATCTCATGCAACTGACTTAAGGTTAAGATTTTGAAATGTACCCCTAAACAGGTTCTGGCACCACTTGCTACAACATTCAGACACTCTGAGCTACATTTTTCAGTATTACTGCTTAAAAGTCTAATGCCCTTTAGGACAACATGAGAGCGCTCAAATACAAGTGTACACACAACAGTTAAAATCCTACATCATCATGTTCTAGAGCTCCTGACTTTTCATATTTTAAAATAAATAACTATTCATTACCTCATTCTGAGGAGGTAGTTTTTTGAAGAGGTCACCTGAACTCTGCAATGTTGCAAACTTAAGCTAGATGAGGTCTGCAGGAGGCTGGAAGGAGTGTGTGTGGGAGGGGCAGCTAGCTGCCTGGTGAGTGAAAGCTAACATCATATGATAGGCGCTGTGACCACACCCAGTGAGAATCTGGGAAATATTTACAGTTTAAGGTTGACAGCATTGACGTCTTGCATTATTTCTTTATAACTAACTATAATGCTCTTTCTTCTCCAACACCAACGTGAATATAGCACAGACTTTATGTGGGATTTTATCTTCTAGGATGTCCTACCAGATCTCTGGTACAATCAGGGATGGGTGTCCAGGAACCAGAATTTGACAGCTAGATAGAATCCTCTTTTAAGGTACACATAATTGCAAAGAATCACATTGGATTTTCTATTCCCAAATCCCTTTTATAAACTACTTTTTGGTCAATATTATTTCAGTGGCAAAAGTCTAGACCCTGGGCTGTAGTTTAATGATGAAAAGTCCATCAGGAATACTACATCTTTTAAAACCATCTTTAATGGTTGCTCTCAACATTTTCAGAAGGTGTCAACTCTCCTCACCTAAAATACACTACAGAAGGCACTGCAGCCACTTTACGGGAAAGACAGATAATTACAGCCATACAGGAGAATCAGTGAAGCAGCCACATACTATATATACAACTTACTCATAAAGTGCTTTGCACAAACAAGGAGGTCTTCCTTGTATTTCTTAGGAGCTCAACAAGTCAATCTGTAGTTCAGCATCAAAAAATAAAGTAAGTGAAACTCATAGGAAACCCCGCTTTTTTATGTCAATTGTAAACTAGAGAAAAAACTATTTAATGGAAAAGGGAAGAAAAGGGACATTTTTCAAATCTTAATTTTTAAGGGCTCTTTAAAAATCTCTCAAGGGTACCTTGAGCCTGGCTTCTGGGCACAGCTTCATCTGAGATCAAGTCTGTTCCCCCTTTTCAAATGAGATGGCAACCTATTTGAAAAAGAAAGGGAAGAAAAAAGCGTATCACCTTGAATTTTGCTTTGAAACCTCCACTCTAAGCTTCCTCCACAGCTAGCGCCTGTGCTGGCTCCTGCAGCCGAGGTGGACCTGCGAGCGGGCTCTACCTGCTCAGCAGGACGTGCCTACTGCTCAAGCCCAGCCCTCTGCCATCTCGGGAGAGGGAACACAAAGGGAACACAAAGATGTTCAAAAGCGTCTATGGGGACACATCGTAAACGAAAAAGAAACAATGCGTTTACAAGTGAGGCAGCATTAGGAACCCAGGCTGCTCTTCGAATCAGCATGAACACTTTCCACCTTTGCAATTTCTGAATTTGGTTAAGATGCTGCTCTGCTCATTAAGACTTAAGAACACACTGCTTTTCAAATTCACTAATAACTTCGGTGTATTTTCCATTTTCCTGAGACAACCTTTTACAAGTCCATGGAATTTTCGGTAGGCCTTCCTCTGAAAATCATCAATGGTAGGGAGCTTTAGGAGACTGAAAGATAGCAGGGTGAGCTACAGTTTTAAATTTTTAAACGACATTTTCTAATTCCATGGTGTATTTCATAGGTCTTGTCTAATTTCTTTCAGATCCTCGCCTACATAGCTTGGTTGGCCTAACTAAGTGCATGTGACTTGATTTACATTCCTAAATCCTGGTAAGAGACGGGGAGGTATTTGCCATTAATATGTCCAGAGTCACTTTCTTCGCCATTCCTGTGACTTCCATCACCCTTCAGTAAAGAGTGATACAGGACGCTATGACCAGGTGAGAGTTTCCATTTATACAAAGACAAAGAATGAGGTTCTTAATACCAAGGCAGCTCTTTCTATTAAAACGGCTGAGGTTCGGCTTCACACACCCTCCCTCAGTCCCAATTCACCTAAAACTGCTCTGTTCTCTGCCCAGGGGACTCAGCTGCCAAATGACCCAACCTTTTGAAGACCAGGCTTGGGAAAAAAGGAAGGAGGAGAATGAATGGAGACACCACCGATTTTATTTGAGGTTGCATCTTCTAGATAAAAGACTAGAAAGAGGGTGTAGGATGTAGTGTAGGAGTAAGTTGGAAAAAACAATGAGATATTAGCCAAGATGTTAGTGTGGATCCAGCAAGTACCATTAATTTAAAAATTATAAATATTCGTCATTATGCTAAGGCTCCCCGTATTTAGGTAGAGAAAAGGATCATGATTTTTCTTTGCAAGTTGTTTATATAACAAAAATACAATTTTCCAGGATATATAATTCTGGTGGGAAGTATTATTTTATTCCAATTCGATTAAATCTGAAAATTACTTTCTTTTTAATAAAAATAGAAGAAACTCAGAAATTAAAACTTGTACCTTACATTTAATTACATAAATGTCTCACATTCAAAACTGTTCTCAAGCGAGTTTTGTATTTCATCAGATAACCGCCATGGCATTTTTGTGCCCTGGACAAAGTAGCCACCTAAGTACTTGGTGACTGGAAGAGCTTAGGAGGAAGATTTTCCTGAGAACCTGCTATATTGTGGAGGGGAAAAATAAAAAATCCCCAAACACGTCTCTCCATTGCTGGACCCAATGAGAAAAGAAGACCACGTGTGCCAGCACGTCCCAGCCTGCTTGGTTAGGCAGACACCCTCAGTGAGCAAGGAAAGGCCAGAAACCCAGGAGGGCAGGAAAAAGATGCAGCATTCCCTTTTCCTCTGCACCACACGGGGCTCCTTCTCCCTTCCTCCTCCATTTAAACACAATAGCTTCATTTTGATAAAAAGTCCTCAAGGACTGAACATGCGCCAAGCAGACAGGGCATGCTGCATTTTTGTTCCATCCCTCGGAAATTCACCGGGGGTGGCTAGGGAAAGAGCCCACAACAAAATCCCAGAACAGGAAAGAGAACGGTGCTTGGTGATTGCAGCTGCCCCATCAGGTGATCAGCCACATACTGGTCTGGTGGTTAGAAGAGCAAAGTTGGCCGGCAGACCTTCCATAGCAAATCTCCCAAGCTGTAGCAGCAGTTTCTTTCCATCATGCCTGACCGTCAAAAGGTCAGAACTCAGGGTATCTTCTCTTTCTTCCTGGGAGTGGGCAGACTCGTGGTGTTTGTGCTGAAGAAACACTGGCAGCAGGGAATTCTGGTTCCTAAAACATTCTTCCCTCTTTTCTTGGATGGGAAATTCCATTCTGTTCCACACCAGCTTATGCATTGAAAATTTTGTATCTTTAAAAAAAAGATCTGAGGAACAGAACTGTGTTTTGATGTTAACAAATTGTACGAACACAAGACTTAAGAAATAAGAGTAGATGCTGCCATGATGATGTGGCTACTTGAAGGCTGCAAATTCTCCTGTAGAGGGAGGACAAGAGCTAATTTTAAAACAAGTTAAATAAGCTAGAGACAGAAAAGTTCATTGAAACCTCACTGAAAGGTGACTGACTATGTATTACAAATCTATTGTAGCAATATCATCACTAATATAAAAAGCAAAAAGGCTGAAGCTCATGAAAGAAGACAACTTATATAGTATGTAGTCAATGGTTCGGTTATATCAATTAAACGTCAAATCTGCAGAGAATTTCCTAGTTGGGTTTTACATGCTATGGTTCTAATCAAGCTAAAAGCAGTTCCAATGAACAACACATCTCAGAAACTGATTGAAAAATAGTAAGGTTGGTTTGTAGAATACATTCCCCTGAATTAGCAACTCATTTTCATTATTAAAATGCTACTGTTAGGAAGGGAGAATGAGAAAATTAAAAGGTCAAATGATTTGTCTACATTACATATTTCACAGAAGGGAAGAAAATCCAGACCCTTCATTTTCTAGTTCATTTCTCCTTTTAAACTGCCAAAAAATTACATTTAGGCACATGTCACTGAGTATTATTCTCAGTATCAGGAATTCTTTAAACCACAAAGTCCGTTTGAGGTCCAACACTCCTTCAGCTTACTGAATTTGGGGGCTTTATGCCATTATCTCTCACCTATCACTTCGTCCACAGCTTCTACTTGTAATTAGCGGTCTGTTCCTCTTACTGTATACACTATAGTTAATTTCTGGGGGTTGGTTAACAATCGACATCTATCAGAATTCAGTTAAACTTAACAACATCTTTTAGTAACAGCAGATTCTGATGAGGATTCAAGCAATCTTTTATATGAATACTCTATTTAATCTAGGAATAGCCTATTCATTTGCTGATTGCTGTCACATTCTGTTTACTAGAGAACAGTGGCATGTCCCAGCAAACAACGGATTGCTAATGATTGGCTGACCTGAGCCCTCAGATTGTATGTTGGCAACATAGTGACTATTTGAATGCCTGTTATATACCAGGTGCCTCACCGAATACTTCATACATGTTTACATCTGACCCTCATCACTCTGAGGCAGGTGCTATTGCTCCCCTTCATTTTAAAAAGGAGCAGGCTGGAGTTCAGATGGTTAAGTAACTTGCCCAAGATCTCACAGCTAGAAAAGGACAGAGCTGGAATCCAAAGGGGGGTCTAACAAGTAACAAGCCTCTAAACAATCTTCAGTAACTGATTATTTGTTTTCCCATTCCAAATACAGCTACTGATTGGGCAGATAGTGATACTATCTCTTTCCATCTAAGGATTACTTTTAACCAAGGTATTAGGAGTCAAAAGATCAAGGAAGGGTAAAAGAATTATTACCTCCTATCTAGTTAAAAGGACTAGGGAGTTTGGCACTGATAAAAAAAGAAATAGCCAAATTACTAAGGCTTTGGAGAGCATTACATTAACAGGGACTAGAAATACATAAACATTCTCATTACCTTTGCTTATGGTTTGAGTACCTTATGGCTCTAAGGACACTATTTTTTCTAGTATTTTAATACATTTCTTTAAAGCAATTTTCAACATTCTGATATGTAGTCATTGTATCTAGCAGAATCTAAATCTCATTAAATCAGGAAGCCAATGTGAAAACAGGATTTACCTAACAGAAATCTTTATAAAAAATGGCTAAAATTCATCTAGTGAGAAAATATCAGAAAATGATAAACTCTAAGCTAAATCTTACAGACCACATTAAAAAATAACTTAAAAAAATCTTCAGTGTGTCTTATTCATTATTACGATTAGTCACTCCATTTTTGTTGAACAGTGTTCTACTCTACAAACTTGAATATTAGCCTTAAAAATAAAAACACCCAAAACCGCCCCCCAAAGCACAAAATCTTACCAACAAAGTCCAAATGAAATACCAATAAAGCAAACACTAAAGATCACCCTACCAGAGTCTACTGCTTCTAAGAGAATGCAATTCTTTTCATAATCAGACTTCAGCTCCAGGAAAAAAACCAAAGACAGAACTCAGAGTTTAGGGATCAAAATTTAAACTCTTTCTAAATATGTCCCTGAAATCATGGAGAAATTTAAGGAAAAAATTTAAGGTGATGGATCTGCTTTTGGGGAGAAAAATTTTTTCTTGCTTATTCCTTCTTGCATATCTGGAAATCTCTATTATCTCACCTCCCACCCTATTTTATTTGAAGAGTCAACTCTGCTTGTGTGAAGTTATTTGAAGTGAAATACCCAGCAACTCTGATTTTTTGGGGAAAAATCTCAGAATATTAATTAATTATTAACTGAAAAATCAATCAGGTCAAAATGAAACTTTTTTTTTTTTAAGCTGAGCCATCCTGCCACCTGTTGGCAACTCAGTGGCAGCTCAGCTCGGGTTGGGAATCAAACCGGTGACCCTGTTGCTCAGAGCTCACACTCTTGAGCGAGCTCTTAACCAACTGAGCCACTTGGCCAGCCCTTTTTTTTTTTTTTT